GCTGTTGGAAGGAAATTACTGAGGGGTGCGACCCTGATCCATGTGTCTTATGCAGGTATTACATTACAATTAGGTTTGTGGATGTCCTAAATGTGCCCTGTCTTTGATGATGATTGTAACCTCTCACAAGTGTTTCCTTAATATCTGAACACCTTATTTGTCCATTCCAGCTTGAAGGTTACCCAGTGCTTGATGGCACTATTTGTTGACAATCATGACATAATGACATGAAGTGGACCTACAGTATGCATGTGTAATTAAAGATATTTATGAAGAGCTATGCCGAAATGTACTCCATTGCCAGCAGTTTTCATGTGAAATATTTGGTTTGGCTACCGTACAATTTATGAATAACAAAAAAGAGAACATTTATTGGTTTGCCTTATTTGTCATGCACAATCTCTTTTTGGGGGGTTCTATATATATAGTTTACAGTATATATGTCCTGGTAGATATGAGAAAGTAGATTTGAAAATAGAGGTTCAGATGTTTTTTAATAAGATAATCGCTTTTTATGTAGTTAGTTCCTTTATTTTGCACCACCCTGTAGCTTTAGCTACTTACATTTTCAAAGAACTTCCTCCACCAATATTCTCTCATAACTAGAGACATTATCTATCATATGTACTATTTCCATGATAGCCATCTCATTCTCCAAACACAGTGATTTAATCTAGTCGGTTAAATAAGCCACTAACTCACTTATTGCACAGAATGGAGAATGATTTAAAGGGAACAGAACAATGCAGTACAAAACATCAGCTATGTCAAAAATGTACTCCATCCATCCATTTTCTAACTGCTTTATCCAGTATAGGGTCGTGGGTGACTCAGAGCCTAACCCACCAAGCAACAAACACAAGGCAGGATAGACCGTGTATGCAATATCAGTCCATTCAAAAAAATATTTCAATTATTAGAATTATGTAAAGAATAAAAAAGAAAAATGTATGCATGGCTAACACATTTCCACATTCCTCAGTATTTTGAAAAAGAATAAGGAAACAGCTTTGTTATTTTTTTTTAATCTTTTTTGTAATTTTTACCTTGGCACCAGCTTTGCTGAGATGATATATGTCATTCATATATTGCAGCCTAAATAGAATTGGAGATGCAGTCCTTAAGCAGTTAACCAGAAAACCAGAGCCGATTTCTCTTTTCACCACACCAAACCTTTTCTCAACAAAGCTGCAATTTATAAGTGTTTTAATATTAACTCAGAATGGTTTCACTTCAGTACAAGTTTAGATCTCATTACCTAATTTGGCAGCCGAAAATCTTTCACTGCTTTTTTTCTAGTTTTGTGGGAGACATCCTGTGAAACGATGAGGCTTTTGCCAGGGCTAAAAAAGCAGAAAGAGGGAAAGAGGAGGAAATGACAACTTCTTCTTTACATTCTTAGTTTCATCCTTGTGATTGGCTTTCCACGCCATTAACAGAAACAGAGAACCACTAAAAAGAGTATTTTCATAAGTAATGTTACAACCTTTATCTTAAAATATCAGACATGACTGGTGTATTTCACTAAGTAAAATAGTGGATTTAATTAGTGAGCTTAGTGAACATAGGCAGCCTATGCCTGAAGCCCTCAACAGTAGAAATCAATATTTTGCAATACAGCACAGAGTTCTTTCAATTCACAGCATATCAGAGTAGCTTGCCAACCTTAGAAACATATTAATGAAATTTACATAATCTTATTTTGAACTCCAGTCCTAAATTGTCTCCAGTTTATAGTCTCTAGACTCTAGTCTTTACT